ATAGCATTCCTATGGACTTTTTACCATGTATTTGTTTTTTATTTTGTCACTATTTTCTTTTCTATTTCTATGCTAGTTATCGTTCATTCATATAGCAAATTTGTATTTTGATGTTTTACTTTTCTCTTTTGTTTCCTGTAATCTTTCAAGATGTTTTTCAGAATCACATTATTTCATTGTAATTTTAGCTTTTGCACTTTTAACACAGGAACCCATCTGCTGAGCGACTTTATGGTTACTCTGCATCAGAAGCCCTTGGTAAGGACGCCGTTGAGCTGCTTGTTGATTCCCATGACTTCTGCGTTGCTGGTAACATAATACACAGAATAACTATGGGGGAGAGCTGGACAGGAAAGTTTCCTGTCAAAAACAAAATGGGAGAGCGTTTTTTAGCGATCACCACTAACACTCCCTTCTATGATGATGAAGGCAGTTTGATTGGGATCATATGCGTTTCCAGTGATTCCAGATCCTTTCAGGAAGTGGTTTACTCTAGTTATTCAAAGCCTGTGGCTGCTGGCTCTAACAATCCTAATCATCCTAGGAAAAGTTTCACAAGTAAAGGGGGTTCAGAGTCTCAACAACCTTTTCAAGTTGCTATTGCATCAAAAATATCAAATTTGGTGAGTTTTTTTAACAAAATATTATTTTCCTGCCAAAAAAGATGCACTTGGGTGTTTTTTCACAGCCAGCTTACTTTTACCTTTAGATTTATTCTATGCTGTCTTTTTTGATTTCCTAAGAATCATATACACAGGCTTCAAAAGTGACCAACAAAGTTCGTTCTCGTATAAGAACCAATGAAAGCAGCACTGATCGTGAAGGTGGAAGTGGAGATAGCCAGCAATCTGATCACGACGCTTTGCAGTCAGACCATCGGGATGATGCCATGTCTAGCGGTGCAAGCACTCCTAGGGGAGACGTAGCACCTTCTCCCTTTGGAGCTTCTTCTTCCGCAGCTGTGGATGAAAGTTCTCCTAGTAAAACATCTAAAGCTGGTAGTGAGGAGAATGAAGGAAAAGCTGGGCTGCACAAAATCATAAGCTCAAAAGCTGAGGCGTGGATTGCTAGTAAGGGAATATCATGGCCTTGGAAGGGTTCTGAGAATGATGGTAATGATATCAAAAGTAGATTTTCTTGGCCATGGTTGCAAAATGATCAAGACGGTGACACAAGTCAGGCAAAGGCCTCTGAGTGTGGTGTTAAGCCTGAGGAAAATAATGGGCCCGGAAATAATGACGCTTCAGGATCCTGGTCGCCTTTAAATGCTAATAGTACAAGTAGTATTAGCAGCAGTGGAAGCACAAGTAGTAGTGTCCAAAAAAAGTTGGATTTGGAGACGGATTGCTTAGATTATGAGATTTTGTGGGAAGACCTGACAATTGGGGAACAGATAGGTCAAGGTAGGTAGTAATTTCAATATAAATGCAATTGACCTTTTTTGTAAACTTTTTTTTAATAATATTTTTAAAAGGGATGTGATAAAAGCCTAATCTTGCAAAGTATGCTCAAGTGCAATGATATATTTTTACTTTAATATAGTTTTAGATGGCAGTGCTTTTATTTTCCAGCTTGAATGCCAGGAATAGGTTCTATGTAGTTGATACTATCAATATTAGCTGTGTCATTGCAACTTAGCTTAGTTTTAATTTTGTATATTTCAACATGTGTCGAGATTGATTTTAGTCATTGCAACTTAGCTTAGAGTTTGGCAGTTCATATTTTAATTTTGTATTTTTTTTTTTTTTTGTGTCGAGATTGCAAAAGAGTAACTATTAAGGAATTATTTTGATTTTTACTTTCTTGAATATAATGTTTTGTTATATTTTTCTTACAATAATGAACAGCATTAGATATGATGCTTTATTCCAAATTGACATAATAGGCAACAAATTAATTTTATGTTGGTGTGAGTGATATATATTGATGATAATGTAATCTAAAATAGATTTAGATGTGTACAATGAAATGCAGTAATTGTACTCGTTAGATGATGGATAAATTTGTATTAGGGATTTAAATAGGGGAAAGGATAGAACTAAGATAACATTGATTGAGGTTATTCAATATAATTTGAAAAGAATAGATTTGTCATCCCATACAGCACTCAACTTGAACAAATGAAAAGGAGAATTCATAAAGACAAAGCCAAATAGTTTGGATAAAGCTAATAATGATGATTATTGATGTACTAGCATTAATAGAACAAACTCAATTCAAAATTACATCCAAAATAAAGAGAAAAAAAGAAGAAGGAAGTTTTAAACTGCTGATCAATTTTTGTAGAATGACAATCCTTATCTTAACACTCAAGCAAACCCTGAGTTTAATAGCAAGCACTTGAAAATTGGCCATCTTATTAATATTGCCTTTGAAATAATAACGAATCAATTACAACCCATGAATGTAATTTAGTAGCAATTGTCTTTGTTTTTGTATATTTAATTATTTTTTTTGGCTTATGCATGAAAGCCATTGTATGATACTTGATTTTGGAGTTGCATTGTTTGCTTTAGTTATAGCAACAGAAACTGTAGCTTAATGAAATGCAGGTATAATTACCTCCTATTGGGCAAAGTGTTGCACTTATTTGATCAGCATATGACCTTTATCATTAGTTTGTTGGAACACCTTACAACATCATTAGTTTGTTGAAACACCTTAAGATTAGACTAAAAGTTGTAATCATTAGACAATAGGTGAACTGAAATAGCTAGAGAATGATGGTTTTAGTCTACTAGAAACCTTTCAACAAATCAATATGAATTTGTAGGGCAATTTTTGCTACAACTCAGCATTTTTCTTATTTTTTTGAAAACTCACTTTACTATATATAATGCTCACTTGCATGTACGCATGTGAACGAGTTGAGCTTGAGCGAATCTGATGTGTGTTCGTGTTCTGCTCGTTAATTTTTTTTTTGTTTGTGTTCTGCTCATGTTTGAAATATCTTGTTAATAATTTGTTTTTGTTAGACCTGATTTCAACTTATTTGTTGGAATTGAGCTCGTGCTCAACTTAAATTTAGTTCACTCAGTTCCAAAATATATGATTAATTAAGTTGGTATCATGAAAATAAAAAAAAACATGTCACTAAACACGGTTCAGATGCCACACATCCGCACTGTTCAGTTTTCATGATAGAAAATTCCTTTCCTTCCTCTTTTATAAAGTTTTTTCTCACAAGGAATTTGCCATACTCCGTATGTGGGATTAAAGATCCCTGCCGTTCCTTCCTTCCCATAGCGTGGTCCATGTCTCCTTGCACGTTATCTCCATCCCGCAGGAGATGCTTTTTTTATAATCATATGATTCATATTTACTTTTCTAACACTTTACCCACATACCACCCAAATTAGCCTTTTAGACCCATTTACATAAAAAACAGTGGTAAGAAAGTGACCAATCGGTTTACATATCTAACACTTTACGTATGATACCACCCAAATCCTCTTATTTACATATCTAACACCTAAACTTATATATTTTTTTCTATAATCAAATTTAGTATTTTTTTAATACATATATAAAAAAGTTATAAATAAATATTAATTATTAATTATTTAGTTATTTGGAGCCAAAACGAACTAAAGACGGACGAACAAGTCTTTATTCGTGTTTGACTTGTTTATAAATTGAGGCAAAAAAAATTTGTTCGTGTTCGCCTCCTTTGCTTAATTAATGAATCAAAGACGAGTTATTTATTGAGCCAAACACGAGTTGTTTGAGAACAAAGAGTTTTTTTCAGCTCTACTTGCATGGGTAAAAGTCAGTTGTTAACAGACTTATATCACTACGTTAAATGGTCCTTCGACCATGTAAATATTTTTATTGCTTTAATTTTGAAGTGAAGTATATTATTGAATGACTAAATGCATTTTTTTTAACTTTTGGTGAACTTTGCTGCTACAGATTTTTCCAAATGCTCAACATTCTTATTTGACTCATTTGCAGCCTCTTTTCTCTTTTTTTTTAATTTTTTATTTTTTTTGTTGAACAGGTTCCTGTGGAACTGTATATCATGCTCTTTGGTATGGCTCGGTATGTTCATCTCATATCTTTTTCTAAATAAAATTTTAATAATAAATCTATCTCGTGATGATCTTGTTTATCTGTTTAACTTTCCATTTTAAGTACTGCTCATTTATTAAGTCTACAACATCAGATGATATCCTCATTGCTATCATATTTTATTGCTGAGATTTTACTAATAGCACAATTAACTAGTGATTTCTAGAGTTATCAAATATGTTTAATATAATATTCATGTTTCTTTGAAGCCGAGGGTGAACTGAATATTTTAATTTGGTGAAATTCTTGGCCTGTCATTTGAGCTATCTTAGCTTTTTATAGATTGTGAGCAAGTAATGATTTCTTTCAGCTTTTTTCTTTGTGGGTTTTTCTTAGTTGTTCACCTGACATAATTCTTACTTTCTTTTGAGAATGTTGGGTGCTGAAGCATAAATTTGATGTAGGGGGGAATTGATCTCACGATCTTGGCAACAAATTCTATTTTTTGTTTTTTTTTCCTGTTAAGCTAACTGGTACCCACGACACCATTTTATTCCATTAAACTTTTTATTTAGATTGACCTTCTTTCCCGAATCTGTCTCCTTGACTGCTCTCTCTTCTAACCACTCTTTTTTGGAAAACACACTGAAATGAAAAGGATTTGACTTGCTGTCAAATGCCCCATTTAAAAAATTGTATAAGTTATAATGCAAGATATTACATTACAATATGAAGCTTACACAGTTTTATGAGTTTCATGTCAAAACTGCATCCCATTCGGAGTTCCGGTTATTTGAGGGCACACGTCTAAAATTTTAATTTAGTTTACTTCATATTATAAGTTTATAATGCAAGATATCTTCAAAATTTTATTTTTGTTAAACACTGCGAAACACGCACTTCTTGAGAACTGAAGTGTTTTGCATCAAACATTGCATCTCATTTGGACCTGTGATTACTTTTTGACACATGTCAAACAGTTTGTTTGGTTTCTCTCATTTTTAATTTTATCACAAATAATTTTCAACACTTTTTAGATGCCTTGTGGACATGTGGAAATGTGGATTGGACACAAAGTAGACTTAAAACATGTTATTCTACCCCAAAGCATATCTTTTTTTTTGTTTATCATTCTAATGTTTCTCTTGTAATGATCTTATATCTTTGATCTACGCCAATGGCCAAGTGAAAAGATATTTCAAAAGAGCAGTGAGCGGAAATAATTATGATGATAAGCAGAGTAAGATTTTGCAGTACAATAGCATAGTTTTATCTTACTATAACCAAGTGATATGCTTCCTAGTTCTTAAGGTAGTGGCTTCAAGTTTGAGTCCGGCTTATGGCTTTTAAACTAATTATTCACCAGCTCCTTGCATGGAATTTGATTTGTAACCATCCTTTTGTTTTAATTCTACTGAATAAAATCGTTGGAATATGTTTCCACATTTTAATATAATGTTTGTTGATGTACATATATAAATATTTAATTGAGCAAGATAGAGGGGGTGGGGGTGGGGGGGATGGGATCTTTTAGAAGCACATGTTGTAAGAATCCAATAAAAGCAGAATATTTGCTTAATGAAAAGGAATCAAGAAGTAGTCACTCATACCCTAGGACTAGGCTAGTTGGGTGCAATAAATAAAAATTAGAGATCATTATGACGCGGGGCTTAGCTTGTTGAACCATCCAGGCCAACCGGTTTAGTTGAAGACTCGCTGCTCAACAATTCAAGGGGCGTGAACTACTGCCCATGTCCTCCCTTCTATTTCATTTTTCTCTCCCGTTGGCCTATATGTGTTGTTTTGAGGACCTTAGGGTTCAGCTTTGTGTTCCTAATTTTCAGAGCTCTTTCTGCCAACCATATTCTCCCTGATTAAGGTTGTATTCGAGGATGGGTGATGCTTCGACTGTATCCTGCTCCGAGGTGATGGTTATCTCATCAATCTTACGCTGTCTAACGACCTTCTTGTATTTGTTAAGCTCGCCATCTCCCTCCATGTTGCCGCTAAGCTTGCCAGTGCACTTCCTGTTGCCGCTCAGATTGCTAGACCCGTTAATCTTTCCAACTCCATTCTTTTTGCCACTAAGCTCACCAACGCCCTTCCTGTTGCCACTCAGATCTCCAGACCCCCTCCCATCGCTGCTAAGTTCACTAGACCCCTCTCTGTGCTGCTCAACCTTGCGTACTCTCGCCAACTGCCACCTCATTCACTTGCTCCTCATCGTTGCTGCCCTTTTTGCCTTCCTGTACATCTTCTACCGCCAAACAACCTTCCAACAACCCTATAGCTGCCACCCCTTAAGCCTTCCTGCACCTTCTTCGTCGCCAACCCACCTCTAGCTACCTCCATGCTGCCACCCCAATTTGCGAGTGCTTATATTGATGCTGCCTACCTACCATTCACCCAACTGCTGCCATCGCCTCTCCAAACCACCTCACACCAGTTATCCAGCCGGAGATCATCACATTTTCCCTCCCCCTAAAGTCCCACTAGTATTCATGTCAGTTTATTTTCAGTTTTATAATATTTTTATGTTTCTTTCTATTTTCCTGTAATAATAATCAACTTATTTTTTTTTTATTAAATTTGATATCATTTAGTATCGTAGCTAACCTAACTCTAGTCATATCGTAGAGTTTCCTAGCACTCGTCTTACCCCTCCACCAATAATTATTTTTTTTCTTTTCTGCCCTTAACCCTCCCTTCCAAACCCAAACTCTAATCATGCCACTATGGAGATATATGACGGAAACTACACTGAAAGAGATGTAGAGGAAGATCCGCCGGCTTCAACAAAGGCTTGTGAAAATTGGTGATGGAACCTAAGGAGAGATTACTCTCGACCATGATCTAGAGAGTTGAATGGGAGATAGGGACTAGAATCTAAATTCATTTCATTGGGAAGTCATTAATGACGAGGAATAGTGACCACATCGCTTTGAAGTTCAATATCGGGGAAGGCTGAGAGAGGAGCCCACATATGGAATGCACATTGAATTTGATATAAAAATGGATCCACTAGAGTTTGATGGGATTACGGACCCATATGAATTTATTGAGTGGTTGCAATCTTTTGAGCAAATATTTCGAATAAAAAGAGGTGTCAGAGGATAAGCGACAAAAATTAACAACTATCAAATCAAAAAAGAGCTCCTTTTTGTGATGGGAGAACTTGTAGAGACAAGAAAAGAGAAGATAAGTGAGAAAAGTGAAGAAAATAATGCAAAGATATCTAAACTTTATTACCGCCAGAACATACTTTTGAGACTCCACCACATGCAATAGACTTTTCAGTGGAGGAGTTCACAACTTAGTTAGACCAGTTACAGCCGAGCATTCAATGTTGTACAATTATCCTTGAATGTCAAAATTAAAAATAAAGCAAGTAGCAATCATCATTCTGGCAAAAGTTCTCAATCAAGTCACCTACAACTATCGCGATAGATAAATGTACCTCGGGAGGAGTTATCAAGACAGGATATGGGAATGACAAGACTGATCCGAGTAAAAAGAAGCCAGAAAAGCGTAGCTTTTAAGTATGGTACTTGTTAGGTGTTTCAAGTGTCACGTCTATGGACACATAGCCTCTAGTTGTTCCACAAGCCGAGTTGTCACATTCACAGATCAGGGCGTCGTCTTGGAGTTGGAGGACGAGGATTCAGAGGACAGTCCAGAGGAAGAATTTCAGTTTCAGGGGATGAGGGAGAATTGTTAGCTATACGGAGATTTCTTTAATCAGAGCTGGAGCGAGATCAACCATGGTTAAGACACATTATCTTTCACACCAAGTGTACGTTAAAGGGCAAGGTTGGCATTTTGATCATTAATTGTGGGAGTTGTGAAAATGTGGTGTCCATGTTGATGGTAAAGAAATTGTGAGTGGCCTTGCAGAAACATCTCCAGTCTTACTCCCTTACCTTATTGTAGAAAGGAAACGACATACGTGGGAATCAACAGTACTTAGTCAAATTTTTAATTAGGGATCAGTTGCAGGAGCAAGTGTGGTGCGATGTAGTTCTAATGAACTCCTGTCATATTCTGTTGGGGAATCTTTGACAGCTCGACTACAAGACTCACCACAATGACTAATACTTACTCTTTCAAAAGGGATGGGAAACACATCTTGCTATTACCGGCCAAGGATGAGAGGTGTGGACGACACAGATGAAGTCTTAGTTCCAAGGGCTGTCTTCATGGTGCCAGTTCGAGATGCTTCAGTGATAGTGGCAGTTGTCCTACTAGAGGGAACTGAGGAGAGTGAAATATCAGCGTCACTACAACCACTACTACAAGACTTCCAGGATGTGATGACCGACAGTCATCCAGAGGTCGTCAGTTAGGGACATTCAACATATCATATATCTCATGCCAGGATTAGTATTGTCGAAATGACCCACTTACAAAATGAGACATGCGGAGTACGGGGAGTTGTAACGATAGGTACAAGATCTCAGCAAGAGGGTTGGTCATAGAGAGCACAAGTCCGTGTGTCGTCCTCGCCCTAATGGTACTCAAGATGGTTTTTGGCGGATGTACATTGACAATAGGACCATCAACAAGATCACCATCAAGTACTGGTTTCCCATTCAATGCCTGGACGATCTCTTGGACTTGTTACAATAAACCACCATCTTTTCCAAGATCGATTTACGTAGTGGGTATCACCAGTTCCAGATGAGATCATGAACGAGTGGAAGACCGTGTTCAAGAAATGAGATGATTTATATGAGTAAACTATTTTCAAATTTGCCCAACACTTTTGTTGAGGTTGATTAATCAAATATTCCGAGCTTACATTGGGATATTTTTGGTGGTCTACTTTGAAGACATTCTAGTATGCAGCCGATCAGAGGAGGAACACTTAAAGCACCCAAGGGAGGTGTTCGAAGTTTTGCGTCTAGAGAAACTATATGCCCATCCAAAGAAGTGCCACTTCCAGACAGACCAAATATGTTTCTTGGGTTACTTCGTATCTAGTCCAGGCATTCAGATAGAGCCGACGAAAATTGAGGCCATTGTGAGCTAAATTGTCCCATAAATGTTCAACGAGCTGAGGGAATTTATGGGGCTAGCATTAGTTTATAGGTGATTCATCAAGAGCTTCAATAAAATCGCCATCCCTCTAACGGATCTTCTGTAGGGAGATAAATTCCAATGAACAGAGGCAACTTAAAACAATTTCAATGCACTGAAGGAAAAAGTGACCCAGGCGAAGTCTTAGCACTACTAGACTTCAACCAACTATTCGAGGTGGAATGTGATGCATCCGACGTGCGGATAAGATCAGTGTTGAGCAGGGAGGTCACCCTGTAGCCTTTTTCAGTGAAAAGTTGAATGATTCGAGGAGGAAATACTCTACGTACGACAAGGAGTTTTACGTCATTGTGAGAGCTCTCAAGCATTAGAGCTATTACCTGCTGACAAGTGAGTTCACGCCATTCACAGATCATGAAGCCTTGAAATTCTTGAACAACCAGAGAAAATTGAAGGGTCGACACGTGATTTGGGTGGAGTTCTTGGCGTTGTTCTAATTTGTGCTTATGCATAAGGCGGGAAGTCAGAACCGTCTAGCAGGTAATGGCTTATTTCCAGTTTTATGATCCTGGTTATGTTTCTTTCTATTTTCTAGTAAAACCAATCAGATCTGCTTGTTTTTTTTTTAATTAAATCTGGCTTCACATTATGCCTTCCTAGTTCCCACTATTTGAATCATTTTGAATGGTGCATTTTCGAGGAAATCCATTCTTGGAGATTCATTGTTATGACTTCTGATTATTAGAAAGAAAAATATTGATTCTTTGTAAAATATTTCACTCTAGAGGAAGTGAAGTACTTTTAACATTATATGATAATTGACTTGAATTATCAAAACTTTCTCAATACATAAGAAGAATTTTGTGATTTTTCTTGGTAGAATCTTCTAAATGTTTGTTGTAGATGATTTTTTGAAGGTCTTTTTGTGTTTTTTATCATGAAAATATATGATTAAAATTTTAATTTTAGATCGGCTTATATATGCCATTGAATCATTCTTATTTTATCACATGATTGATGAGTGATTAAATATTATGAAAATTGAATAAAGTTTTTCATAAAAAAAAAAATTGTATCATTAATGAAGATTACTGGTGTGTCCTTCTGTTCAATATGCTATAAAGTGGTAGGAGAAAAAAAAAATCGAAGTACATTCCTCCCTTCTTTTTCCCTCCCTCCCTCCTCCTCCCCTCTCCCTCTCTATACCCACGCGAGTGTGCACACACACTAGTTCTGTTTTATAGCTTTCCAGATTTTATATATTGCGACACTCATATTAATGCTGTGCTGTGTCGTCGTATCTGTCATACATGTTCGTGTAATATGTTTGCTACAATATAATCTGAGGCTAATTTTAGTGTCGTTGTAAGATTTTGGTAGGATTGGTTTAAATGCTTTGTAAGGGCGCAAAATATTTCTGGCTTTTTTTTCAGGATGTTGCAGTGAAGGTATTCTCTAAGCAAGAATATTCAGAGGAAGTGATATTTTCATTCAGGCAAGAGGTAACTCTGATTGGCCTTTCCAGTTTGCAAACTATTCTGTTATGCGTTGAGCTCATAGGTTAGGCTAGTTGGTTATGGTCCTACACTACTATCCATTGCGAGGAACTCAATTCCCTCAAACATATTTTGTTACGAATGCTATAATCCAGAATATTGATATATTAAGGGAATGACCTTATTTTATCTTTTTCACGCTGATATCTTGCGCATTCTTACAATTTGAAAATTTCATGCAGCTTACATATTGAAATAAGCCACGCACTCTTGTTATTTCTTGACAAACTTCTCCTTAGGCTTTGTTTGGCGTAGCAGTCCCAGGAAATTGCTGCAGGGAAGCTGGCTACCTGTTTGTTGCAGCTGCATGAAAACAGTTATGGGACAACTGTTTCTGGAAAATTTACTGTTCTGCCAATGTTCAGTAAATTTGTTTGTAACATAACTGTGACACTCATTTATTTAATAATTATGAAGCAGAAATTCAAAATAATGATTAATTTATTTTAAATTTTAAAAATATGTTCAAAATAATTATGAATTTATTGGAATTCATTATTAGCTTGAATGTTGTTGGAAATCAGTTATTACTTTGAAAGTCTACACGAGAATGATGATTACTGTACAATAAACCGTTCGTCTTCATGAGAATGATGATTAATTCATTTTAAATAAGATAATAAAGGTGCATTTACATACATAACACACAATTCTTATACATTTACAGATTTAACACCTAAACTTTCATATTTACATACATAACACTTAAACCTTTAGCATCACATCAAGAAACCACTGTTACAAACTGAAGAAGGCAGAATTCACTGCTTCCAACATATTCTCAACAGTTTCAAGCTACCAAATGGAGATTGTAATATCTAAATATTGTAATGGGATTGATTGTGTATAATGCAGCAAGGAGAACTGGAAAAAATGGAATTAAAACATGTAAAATAGCAAGATTGCAATTCCCAAGCCAGTAATAAAGAAAATTAGTATCACGCTTGATTTCAAACACATTGCAAACGACTTTCCTTACTTTATTTTTCCCTTCCTTTCGTATTTCCACATGTTTGTAACTAAAATTTTCCGTCTTTGTATGGCTAGCCGAGGAGGTTCTCATACACGATTTCCCCAATTAGGTTTTTAAATGTGACAATTAAGCTCCTTCCATGATGAAAGAACTCTAGGGAGCTTTACTAGGTGGTCAGCCACACCCTGCTTAGCTTTTGCTTATTTTGATGTTAGCTTGTCAGGCTTATGAGATCTTCTCAATGAATGACATTTGATTGATTGTGTAGTCTTTTGTTGAGAGAGAAAGAGAGACCCAAAAAAGAACTGAAGTTTCAGGCTTAACATTCCAATTGAACTAGTGCTCATTTGATTGTTTGAAGTTAGAAAACATGTTTAAGAAATGCTGAATTTATTATATCTCATCATTCGGTTGGTTGTGAATAGAATTTAATATGGTTCTTTAAAGTCCTTTAAAATCATATTATATTTTACATGCAATGTGAGTTAAAACAAATCATCATCAAATTATCTCCCACAAATCCGAAACATTCCTCGGAAGAAATAGATTGTGCCAATTCATGTAATAAATCATGCATCTTATAATATATTCTCTCATAATATTGAAACTCATCAAAGAAGATTTTCTGACCAAAACATCAAAATACCTTCCTCCAATATCTTCCAAAGTCTCTCTTTCAATAGAAGATTCCTGATTGAAACCTGATGCCATCCACATTCGGACTAAATTATCTTTATCAAACTGATGATCTTGTTGGAATACACCACAAATTCCTACTCCTCGCCTCGACCGAGGAGATCTTTTTTAGGCAAGCATCTTGTTTCACGATCTTTGCACAACTGAAGCTCCAACTCCTGTTGTTCCTGCTCTGTGTTTTTGATGAGATGAAGGAAAGTGCTGAACTCAGCTGAAACATTATCAAGTTTCTTCACAACCTTCTCCAGTCTCTTCAAATTGGGATCCATCTTGAGAGCACGTTTGCCAGTTTTCTTTGAAGAGCTCATGGTGGAACACACCTTTTGCTGCTTCTTGATTCTGGTAAGCTGTTCTTCAAGCTTCACGTACTCAAAGTCATCAAGAACATCATCTGCCTCATCGATGGCATCTCGTAGCTGCCATATCCATTTGTTGAGTGCTGGGTTTCGGCCTCTGATCTGTGCTTGGGTGGAAGCAGAGACGACAGCTTGGATCTTAGGGTGGTTTTCTCGCAGCCTTTCGAGCTCCTCCTTCATGCCCGTCTGCCATCTATATTGATCTTGCAGGTAATCAGAGCAAGCGTTGATGATCTTATCCATGATTGGGCCAACAAATGAGAATGTGAGCAAATAACTTTTCAAACATATATGAAGAGAGTGAATTCAACTTTTATGGGTTCAGAATGAACCTGCAACAGTTTGCCAAAATATATGCAAAGGCATTAGAACTACCACACTTATAATTAAAGTCCTTAAAAATAAATCATTAACTTCTCTCAAGCATCAGATCAAAATTAACAACATCAAGGTTAGTAAATAGATTACCAAAGGGAATAGATTTTGTTTAATACGCGCAAGACTTTAAAAGAATTTCAAGTAAAAACATAAGGAGAGTTTTTTTTTTCAACTAAAGCAACATCATCCCTTAAAGAAGTCATAGCAACTGAAACTGTTTATATTATTAAAATGGATTAAATATAACATTTTGTATATTAACTGAGTTACTAGGGGCTCTATCTCAAAGAAATTTAGGGCAGAGACTTATGAGAAAATTTTGATTCAATTAATTGTGTCACCTTTGAACATATCAAAAAGGAGAGGACACATACAATTTTGTACAATAAATGCATAGTACAAAAAATCATTCAACACAAGGAATGTGGGTTAAGACAATTTCAAGATAAAATGATTTATGTAACTGTAAATTGACAATATAGAATTGCAGTTAACTACTGGACATATGTCCAAGCCATCATGAAAATTTTGTTCTTTTCAAACCATTTGAAAAAATTACCCTTATGCATCATCATCACTAAAGAAGCCATTGGTAAGAAACTACAAACTTGGTTCTATTGTTGGTGGGGTTTTTTGAAGGCGAATTTAGACATTCTTCATTAAGCTTTAAAAAAAATTTAAATTGAATGGGTTGAGACTTCACCTAAAATGAAAAGTATTAAATCTAATGCATTTTTCATATATTTTGGCAAACTGTAGCTGAACTCATTCCTAATTGCTTGCATAAAATATATATTTTAGCAATCCAATATAGCTGGTAAAGATTTTGGAAGTTTTTTGTGAAGTTTCTGGGATCTAATCCCACCTCCATCACAACTTTCCCACAAAGCAAAAAAGAAAAAAGATAGAAACAACAAAAAGGAATATTTTGATAAAATTCAAATTCATTATAGTTTAGCTTAAAGCAGCGGATTTCTCTGAAAACCTTGAAGAACCGTAATTCCGACTTCCACCTATCATAATTAAATTGAAATTAATGATGCAAACCACTCCCATACCTTCGAGGGAGATGGCAGGCGGAGCTGCGTAGGATCCGTGAGATGGCAGGCGGGGGAGAGAGAAAAAAAAACAGTTTTTTCTCCTTCTTCGATACCTTCGAGGGAGAGGATGGAATAAGAAGGAGACCGATGGACTTTCTTTCGACGGGAATATAAGGGAAGAAGAACGAATGAGCTGAACTGCCACCAACGAACGAACGTGAGAGAAGGAGGGGGGAAGGAGCAAAGCTTCATTTCACGTAACAACTCGAACGAACAAGACCTTCGATCGAAGAGAAACTGGGTAAAAATCGGATTGCGGAATGCGGGCCGCATGCTGAATCCCATGGCCTGTTTTTCGCGAAAATTTCCCCTACTTTCGCTGCGAATTTCTCCTCCCGCGCCCCCAAATAGAAGACGTCCGCTGTGGGGTGCCGCGAAGCTATCCAGTCGAGCCCCCAAACATACCCTTAATCTATTTCCCAAACTGTCACAACTTTAGATCTGGGATTTTTTTTTTTTTGCAGTTTAATTTTGTTTTTTTAATCCCTTCTAAATTCAGCTAGCTATAACCAATTCTTTGCATGTTTGGGTGACTTGGCTTTCTGTTAGAGTGTCAAACTTCTGGTGAACTCTTATAAATTGTTTTAATGACAAGATAAAATTTGTGGGAAAACTTCAGCGAAGGGCAATACAAGATAATAAAGAGCTAATAGTTTAATCATCGGTGCTGATCATTACTTAAGCGTTCTTTTCTTTTGCTTACGTGAGAATGTCTGGTATATGTGAGACTAGAATTGAGCGCATTGATGGAGGAGATGGAACTAATGTCAAGGGGAAAGAGAAAGAGCCAAAGAAAATATAGTTATTTTTGCAAAAAAAAAAAAGGTGCTAAAAACTACATGAACTTGAGTGGAAAGAATGACAAAGAAGGAATGAAGCAAACTCATATTGTTGGGATAAGGCTTTTACGTGGTGATGAAAGTCGATTTGATACTTCATTATGGTTGATGGATTTATTAATAGGACAAGTAGGAGCCTGAATAAAGGTCCTTCTGGAAGACACTGAGTTACTCGTGCGCATATGATAGATATTTTACACTCTTGCTCTCTTTTATATACCTGTCATTCTTATTTATTTGTTAAGAGGTCTACTTTCCTCTGATGCGGATGTGATGCCACATTTCCACGGTATCGCGGAACCTTGCAGAAATGTGGGATCATAAATAGCTTCTCAATCGTGGGTATTAAGGGCCGATATTTTTTTTTAGTTTTATTTTACAGCAAGTTTCAAAAACAAATCTGAGCTAAAAGTAGCAAACAAATTGCAAGAAATCTATGGGAAAAGCCAAATTGGGACTAATTTGATTAATCTCCAAGAAAACAAATAAGATATAATGGGTGATCTACAATTCGAGACATAGATCGATTCTCCACAATCCCTAGAGACCACTAGGAACAAGAAGACAAAAAGAGGATTGTAGGAATCCAAAACAAGAAAACAACCCTAGATGATTAGCCCAAATAAAACCCTTGCGGAAATTCCTCTCCTCGCATACTTAATGAATTCATTATAATCCAATTGCCTGTTAAAATCTGACAAGCCAATCTTAACTCCAAAATTATGGTTTCTCTTTTGATAGTTCATGCTAAATCATCGAGGTATTGGTTCTTCATCTTTGAAAATTCTCTTGTAGAAGGGACGCTTCCTCCTTCTGATTTAGCGAGTTATCGTTGTGGTTACAGTTGATACTCCAAAATGTCTTCTTTCAAAGATGTCAAGCCTTTGTTACAGTTGGAGGATTACTCAATACACATCATCCATATTAAGTTGAATACCTTGTTGAGGATTACTCATTGGTGGCTTGATTTCTCATTCTTCCAATTAAAGTTTCAACTGACAAAAGGGGTTGGTTTAAATTTTGGGCTAGGTGGGTGATGTGAGAATAGTTTTTTATGGAGCTATTAGGTTAGGTTATGGGGATTTTTTTTTTTTTTTTTTGGGTTGGGAAAAAGAAAGATAAATTCTAAAAATTTAGGGTTTGTCGAGTTCTAATATTAAATAACATCATTCTCGAGCCCTTAGAGTTGTGGGAGAACACAAAAAATGGAAAGGTGGGTTGTATGATGTTTAACCGAGGCAGGAGTAATTATTTCAGCTGAAATCTGGTGTGCACGACATTAGACAACGAGCCAACAATAGAGAAACAACAGGATGCTGCCGTCAAATAGCACTTGCCAGCAGGTTTGGCGACGAAGAAGGCCTTTGAATGTCCTAGAGAGATCACCACATTGACCCAATTAAGTTTTAAACACACTACCCAATAGAAATTTAAGGAAACGATACTCCAATAAAAGGACAAAACGTCTCCAAATATAAACTAAGCAAAAGTCAATAATACGGGCAAATAAGATTCCTATCAAAATAACTCTAATTATAATTTAAAATAAATAAAAATAGGCCCCACAAGATCTTGTTGCAGTGAATAAGTAGCAAAATTCCGCTCAAGCCATACGGGATGGAATTTTCCTATATCCCACTCGTTCCACTTGCGGGACGACTCACATAATCATGATTGTGGAATCCCGCGTGGGACCTCCTGAGTCATCTCCATAATAGTCTAGATAATATTGATTTACTAATGCTTAAGTAATTCTGCTGCAATTGAATTTTTTTTTTGTTGTTCCATAATTGTTAATACTAGTCGATGCTCCATCATACATATCTTTAATAACTTTAGTGTACGTTTGCACACACCTTTCTTTGGTAATGTGCCAAATCAATTATCGTAGTCTTCAATACAACAACTAGCCTTTATCCCACTAAGTAGGGTCGGCTACATGAATCTTTTTTCTCCATTGTGCCCTATTGAGTGTCATATTTTCATATAATCATAATAGTTAAGATCATTTTTTTATACAATATGCCCAAATATTTTTAGGTTTATCCTGCCTTTATTAAGACATGTAGAATCTAAAATATCTACTCTTCTAACCGAATATAAAACATCATAGTTCTCGATAATGATTAAAAAAAGATCAAATGAATATCGTTTCTCTGTTTCAATATTTTTATTTTATTGTCACAATAATCACTTTGATAACATATCTTCTTGGTATAAAATCATTTTATGTTTTTTTTTCAATCTGATGTTAGCTCTTTTGGGGTCTACTTTCCATTAATGTCTCCAATGATTTTGTTGTGGTTTACTTCCCTATAGTTAATACTGTCATTGAACATCGTTTTTAACCATTGGTATTAAAATGCTTTTACAATCATTTGGCAATCTTTCAGTTTTTTAAGTTCACCAATTGTCTAATTTTATTAGAATTTGAATTACCTTCACAGGATACTCCTTCAATTAAATGACTTGATTGAACGACCTAGCATTACTTTTTCTTCCAATTCCTATTTTGACCTTGTTATACTAACTGGAATATTTTTTTTTGCATAGGGCACTTGCATTTCTTCTATAAGTTAGATAATACTTTTTTTTTGTTGTTGTGTAGGTATCACTTATGAAGAAACTACGACATCCAAATACACTTCTGTTCATGGGTGCTGTTTTGACTCCAGAACGTCTTTGTATTGTTACCGAGTTTCTTCCACGGTTCGTTATAACTTAACTAAAAAAAATTAACCCTGTAAAATTTTGCATTTGGTTTGATGGTAGTATGATATTTTATTATTAGTATTTTAAGTCCAACCTGGCACATAGTTTTACTTGGTTTTAGTCCTCTCGTTGAAGTTCATCTATCTTGATCATATCTGATTTGTACTGTACAGAACATTTATGACTGCTATTCATAGCAAATATCTAGGAAGATCATCATAGTAATTTATCATGTGCGAAGCATATTTATTTCCCATTAATAAACTTTGTGATATGTGCTATGCATAACCTATTGGCCATTATGTGGTTCTTATGGACTTTAGTTGAGGAGCGGTACATAAACTTTGGTGTGTTAACTATGCCCTGGGAATGTTTTCCTCATATTATTCAAGCTAGTCTGTTTCATCATCTTGCTATTTAGGACTTTATTGAAGAATTTTTGCTATTTAGGTATATCAGAATTATTCTTGTTTTTCATTTTATGAATTTCTGGAGAGTGAACTTAGTGTGTTCATTTAGCTTTCTTTGTAGGGTAAATTACATGCAGGTCCATATGATATACATCCCACTTGGCTTTGGTCCACATTTTAAAAACACTACATTTAGGTCACTGAGGTTGAATGGTGCTACATTTAAGTCCTCATTTTGATTATTCTCTAGAATTGTTTTGATACCTATGATGTCCTTAATGCCACCTTAAACTTAACTCGAGGACCTCATTTAGCTGACATGAGGTTCGTAGCATGAAAACTTTCTTAAAGGTGATCCCTACAACTTCATCTGAACTGGAGTATTAAATTTGATAAGTGATTAAGAAATGCTACAGATATTGATTCTATAGATACTCCTATAATTCTCTCCTTTTTGTGTATTTTTCAGCTTGCCACTGTGAAGCTTTTCTAGTTTCTGTTGTTATCTTTTTCAAAGATCTTTTATTATTTGTTCTCTTTATTTTCAATTTCTTGTTGTATTATTTTAAGTTTTTTTTTCCTTGATTCATCATAATAAACTTTTTCAAACTATTGCAAATGTTGCTTCTGATTTCTAACATTAATGTGGACACAATATCATTATTCAGAATGCCTACATGGACAAGATTAGTAGATTTTCTAGTAAATAGTTTGGTGACTGATATGAGAGATGTGGGGTTAGAGAAGATACAACAAGAACAGCCATGAAAGTAATCTGGGAAAAAAAAAACATAGAAGGACAGGATTTACTGATCAAATAAAAGTTACAAGATACAAGATTTTCATAATTTCACAATCAATTGGAATATATAAAAATTATCTTTCGAAAGATTGATGAAGAAAGGAGATCCAAGATGTCATCACCAACAACGGAAGGATACAGTTATCACCACCCAACGCCGTGAATACAGACTCGTTCCCATTCATAAGCCATAGAGAGCACATGCCCTCACAAAACCCAAATAAACAAAAGATCCCCAATACAATAGATGACTACATATTTATAATCAACAAAGGATATAAATCTCATAAAAATAAATAGAATAAAATATCTTTGTTGCTATCAGGAGTGGGCGACAACCATAACTCTAGAGAAAGATCGTTGATCGGCTCTCCCCCACTTGGATTGAATCGATCCGGGTCGCCCTCTCTGCCCCACGTCAATCTATTGGTGCTGGTGAAGCTTCAATCTCATCTGTCGAAACTTGGCAAAGTAGTTGTAATCTCCCGGGATTGGAAGGCCTTCAACTTTCGACACTTGTCTGTTGGGTGTCATGGCTAAGGTTTAGGTTTGGGAGGTGAAAGAGGTGTATGAGACTGATTTAGGGAGCAAAAATATGATTTAGGGTTATTGATTTTGAAAATCAGGAAGGGAAAATTAGGGTTAGCCCAAGATTTAGCTATGTTTTGGTGGTTTTAGGTTTAGGAGGATTTTGCAAACCCTAAAATGGAGCTAATGTTAGGCTAATACCAAATGATATCAGAGGGATATTAGAGAAGATTCTGCAAGAACAACCATGAAAGCAATCCAAGACAAAAAAAACAAGTAGAACAAATATGAGATACACTAATCAAATCAAGTACATGAATTTTCTACTCTTGCAACTAGTTGAGATACAAAAATCACCATCCAAAAGATTGACAAAAGTAGGAGACTCGAGATATCACCACTAAAAACTAAGGGTGTCGTAGATACAGACCATCCACATTTGGGAACTACAAAGAGAGCACAAAACAAGAACCCCTAATATAATAAACGACTACATATTTATATCTAAAACAAATAAAAACAAATAGACATAAAAACCCTTGCCGATATTAGGAGTGGGCAGCAAACTTAGCTCTAGAGTGAGTGCCAACCAAAGCTCTCCCACTTAGACCGAACCCATCTGGGGTCCCCTCCTAGCCCTATGTCAGTGACCTTCATTTTTTTTTTCTTCAGAGACAACCCATCTACTCCAATCTCCATTGAATCCACTCTACTTCACAATGAGTTGGCTTGAACTTGGTTAGCTTTTCTTTTAATCTACTAGTTTCACTTGAATTTGTCTCAGTCTCAGATCCTTCAACTTTGGCTAAATCATTTGAACCAAACATAATTTCATTCAAGTTCAATATATCTGCTTGTACTCAAAATCAATCTGTTTAAAAGTTTAATACATTTTAACCAAATATCATGAGTCCGTCTCGACTAAACTTGATAATCTAATTGCTTGAGAATAATGGAAATTTATTTTGGCTTGACTTAATCTTGCTGAAGATCAAACATGTCCATTCAAATTGAGGTTTTTTTTTTTTTTAATCAAGGATGGCTCACTCATTTCCTCTTTGCTAAACTCAAGCCTCTAAATCGATCCTCTCTGCTTGACATCCTGGGGCAATCTTGCTTGCTGCCGAAATTGGCACCACTTTTTTCCTACCTCGTATGCTAAAGAATGCATTAAGATGAGGAGAGCAACATTTGCTGATACCATCTTTGCTAGGAAATCATTGTTGATTTCTTCTGCTCATGGTGGTATCGTAAAGATCTCAAGCCGAAGATTCTCATCCTTGACAATGCTAACCTCAATGTCTTTTACTTTGGGTCTATGCTTTTGTTGATTTTGTACGCCACATCACCTGCAGTGCTTAAACCATCAACATGTTGAAGGTTATTTGGAAGAAGGCTTGGATTCAATGGAGATTGGAGTAGATGGTTCTGTGGAATTATTGATGCCGGAGCAATATTGTAGCTCCCAATGCATGAATTCTGCAAAACAAAGCCGCAACCTGTCCTGCGCGCCTAAACTGAATTGGTCTAGTTTGGGTCCCTGTTTAGGAGTTGGTCGGTCATCAACCACTCTTAGTTATCCTATTACTATATATTTATTTTTGGAAGAGCCTAGGGTCATTTTTTTATTCAGTTTTTTATCAGGATAGTTGTCAGTGTCCAGGTTTCCCCTTCTTAGGATGTATCCAAAGGCGAGAAAGTGTTTCGACTTTAACTCGTTCTGAGGTGATGTTTATCTATTTTTTCCTGCTTCCCCTACCTTCTTCCGACCTCCTGACCTGCTGTCATCCCTGTCAGAACTGTTTAGTTGGTAGTCTGGCAGTTGTCTAGCCACCGTCCAGCCCCGCAAATCCTTACTGCCGCCTCTTCTAGCCATGAGTCATCTACCACCACTCTTCCACCACTCTGCTCAACCCTCTTACTGCAGCCCCACACTACTTTCTAACTGCCAGCCACCTAACAACCCCTCTGTCACCTTCCCTCGCCGCTGCAACCCCTCCCCTCGTCACCTTTTGACCATCCAGCCCTCCATATCCTCTTTTCTCCCTCCAACCGAAGCACCACTACCTTCGATTTGTGCCATAGTCTGTGCTTGTGTTGAGTGTCTATTATTCTTTCCTTTTTTGGTGTGTATTTGTTATAACCCCCATTTGCTACCGTAATAAAAGTTGCATTTCCCATTGTCATTTGAGTTAACTTTGGTATCATTCATGTTATTTGTTATCTTCTCATTAAATTCCTCATTTGGCATCCATTTGTTTTGCACATTGTGAAATCTTTGTTATGATAAATAGAACTAGAGGAAAACATGTTTTGTGATAGTATTCTTTTTTTTTTTTATTTTGCTTTTTTCTTTATTTGATGACACTCAAATGGATTCAGCCTACTATTTTAGTTTTGTAGAGATTGCTATTGCAATTAACTATTTTACATTTACATGTGACTAGGAATGAGGATTTTTTTTTGCCTGAAATGACTTTTTTGCTGATTAAATGTACACGCTCAAGCCCTAAATTACTAATAAATAATTGAAACTTTTCATCTTTGTTTTTTCATGTTTAATATCATAGAAGGGATTTAATTGCAAATTTGTTATTGATTTGATGTTTTTATTTGTGAAAGTGGTAGTTTATTTCAATTACTTCAAAGGAATACAATCAAGCTTGAGTGGAGGAGGCGCACGCATATGGCATTGGATATTGTAAGTTCTGTGTTTGGATTCTAAATGTGTTGGATAACTGAAATTTTTTTATGCATATTTTAAAGGTGGAAATGGATGAATTCTTTTCCATTTTTTTTTTATCGTTTTGTTTAAACATACATTCCACCGGCTTTGAGTGGTGTACTGTTTTTATAAATCTCAAAGTATTGCAACCAATATTCATTTTATAACAGGATGAACTTTTGGGAACCCAAATGTAAATTAAGTAATTTTTAGTAAAATTTAAAGCGGTTGTAAGTTGATTATTTTATATTAAATTGCACTTTGGGTCAAGCTTATCAAAATTCTTTGGATTGATTGTATTTTTCATAAACATAGAAAAGTGATCCTTTGCATTGAACCTTGGATGTTAAGTCATATAAAAAGAAGATTACACGTCATCAAATCACTGCTGACAAAATTTCACCATACCAACTGTCTTTTTACTTCTTGTGGGCATTGCCCCTTGTGCACAAATGAACTCTGTAATAATGTCCTAATGGGGTTTTGAAAGAAATTCAAGAGTTCATGTCACGGTTCACATTTTTCTCTTTTCAAGTTTTAGGAAAAGATTATTGAGTGTCATGAAGTTTGGAAGATAGATTAGGGTAATGTCACAGTGCCAATTTCTATGGGGAACTTGCCGAGAGGACCAACCTAAGGCAAGCTCTCAGGATAAATACGTAGAGGAGGCAACTTCTTAGGGTAAGGAATTATGGGTGAATAGAGTAATTGTTAGTAGTCATCTAGTAGCGGGCTTCTCAAGACAAAGTGCTGACAAAATGCTAAGAACTATATAATATTTGCAGGAAATCATCAAGGATAGAGCTTCTTGAGGTAAAACACCAATAACAACATGTCAAGAGGCATTGTTCGCCAATGTTTAGTCACCAAGAGAATAGATATTTTGACCAATCTGCGGAGAGCTTAGAAGGTTCAGTTCTATTGAAAAAGACCATTTTGTGCCAAAAGAAAAGTCAATAATCGCGCAAAACACTTCTTTTTAGCTGAAGTAGAGAGAAAGGATGGGTAGAGATTAAGAGAGATTAAGGAAATAATATGAATGATAACGGCAAACATATTTTAAATCTGACATCCAAATTGATGAAATCGACCATTGATAGCCTCAAACACAATGTTTTTGAAAATCTTAAAAAGTAGAGTATCTATTAAAACAATCCATCAAAGATGGAGTGTCTATTAATTTATTGTGAGATGTGCATTTCATTTGACATTTACTAGACGTAAAATGTTTTGATTAGATATTCCTGGCTTATTTGAGTGCTCCTCGTATCTCAAGACCTGTCTGCCTTGTAAAGCTTCATAAATCTATGGTTAGTGTAGTGATTAATCAATTCTTTTGTGCGTTAGGCTATACCTCATTCTAATTATCGGAAGAAATATAATAGAAAAATGATAAACATGTAAAACACAATAACAATGCTATACATGTTCAACCAATTATGTCTACATTTTGTTGCTACCACTGTAAATTTCATCATGATAAAGATGGTTGAATTTTACAGATACGGTCACAACCGAACTCAAAATTACATTGAAATACCATAAATACTCTCAAAAATTAACTTACAAATATTGAATAATTTGAGAAATAGGTTGATCTATGCTCCAAGTATGTGCAAGTCATTTCTTATTAGGGCCTAAATCATTCTCCACGACTTAATAATGCCAGAATAAGTGGAAAAAATATATTTTAAAGCATTTCTTGAACATTGACTAAGGGCTTTTTTTATAGGCTGCTGATAAACTTATTTCTCATTGTTGTTAGCTGCAACATCATCTGCAAAATGATTCTTAAGAGTCAGAAAATTTGTGTAATATTCCCAATTTATTTTTTTAATAAAAAATCGTCATATTCTATTTGTTTTATCTTTTGATAGGCAAGAGGGATGAATTATCTTCATCATTGCAACCCACCTATCATCCACCGTGACTTGAAATCATCCAATTTGTTGGTAGATAAAAATTGGACTGTGAAGGTACCTTTTATTATTTAATTAAAGTATATTTAATTCTCCATCCGTATCATTTTTTATTTTTTTTTCCACTTCATTTTAGGTTGGAGATTTTGGCCTTTCACGTCTAAAGCATGAAACATACTTAACTACACAAACTGGGAAAGGAACGGTGTGTTTGCGCACATATGCGTCCAATGCCTTTCTTTTGTTGAACCTCTGTTTTTCTGTTGCGTTGGTTACTTATGTATGTTTGTATTAATGATATTAATTATTTATTCTCAGCCACAATGGATGGCTCCAGAAGTTCTTCGCAATGAACCATCGGATGAGAAGTAGGTTCACATCCACTCTTGTGTTCCATGCAACTTATTTTTAACTGGGGCATTTACATACATACCACCCAATTCCTATATATTTAGATATGAAACACTTAAACTATACATTATACATTTAAACCATCCAAATCTTTCATATCACATAAAAATCACCACCATTTAAAATTTTAAAAGATGAAATACATCTTTTCATCCATAAGTAAGATGGCATGTATGTAAAAATTGAAGTTTAAATGTTAGTTATGCAAACACATAGTAGTTAAGTCGTATGTTTGTAAATCTTTTTTTATTTTTATTTTTATTGAGGATTCAGGCATGCAGAACAAGTAAGTTTTTTTGTTTTTCTTTTGGAAACACAGATCTGATGTGTACAGCTTTGGTGTCATTTTATGGGAACTTGTTACTGAGACAATCCCATGGGACAATCTCAATTCCATGCAGGTACTCTACTTTTGAAACGCATTTTGGATGTTAAACGAAGTGATAAACTAGTGGGTGACTATTCTTAAAAAGTCTAATTACAAATGAATAATGGATGTACAAGTAGGTGATAATGGATGTACAAGTAGGTGATTTTTTTTTTTTTCTACGTGGTTTGTGCACGCCTTTAGTTATATTCATTGTTCTTATAAAGAAAGTTGTCTTAGAAGCTACTACTAGTCTATGACCGGATCCATGAATTTGGATCTTGCTTGTTCTTCATTTGCTTTGTTTGCTTCCTCTCAAGTTAGAAGAGTTCCCCTATTCTCCTGATTTATTTTCATTCTGTGGTAGTAGATGAAGGGAGGATTGTTCCTGATTCTTTGGAATTATTTATTGATTGCATTACATCAACATTTAAGTATTTTTGTTGAAGCAATATTACAGGAATTTGGAAATCGATGCAAGAAAAATGTGTTTTGAGGTATATCAAGCTAGATTTTGAGCATTAGTGAAGTTATATTTTAAAGAGTAACCAAAAAATAAAGGTTATATTAATTTTTAATTGTAATTTGTATCTTTATTAATTATACCCATTGTTCCTTCTTTAGTTTATCTTTTGAAGAGAAAGAACCAAATATTTCACATATCCTCATGAGAGAGATAACTGCTTCTTTTGAGATCATTATCCATCGATAAACAACTGGCATCTTTCTCCTATTCGTTTCTAGCTACTTAACTAAAGTAAATCATTATACTCACCAGGGATTTCTATATGAAATGTTTCTCTTGCTTTTTGACTCAATATACTTTTCCTATTTCTCCAACCTCCCATCCTTTATTTATTAAATGGTCTACACAGCACACCTATAAATATTTTGTTTTAAAATCAGGGCTGGTTCACCATCTATTCTTTCTTTGTTCATCTAGTTAGAATTAAGCGTAATATGTTTCCCTTTCAAAAAGTTCTTCAAGATGCTAAAGACAACTTTTTCCCTTTCAATTGAATGTGAAGTATTGTTCTTTTTTTTTTATTGAATGAGAAGTATGGTCTAAATTGTACTTAGAGATGAATATGATGAAGACATAAAATTAGCTATGGCGATGGTTGTTGGAAGTGGCCTTGCACTTATCTTCATGTGAAATCGATTGATATTAATATGATTAATGAGTAGTATGGTTGGCCTCAACGCATAGACTTTTGATTTTGATTATAAGAACCACTAACAATTCATGAGAATCGAAATGCACTGAAGGCGAAATTAAAGAACAAATTGCAGAAAATCAGTGGGAAACCCAGATTTGGGGTAATTTTAAGCCGACAAAATATAAGGGTGATCTACAATTCGAGAGGTGGACTGGCGTATACAAGTCCTAGACACTTCTACAAACAAACAACAAAAGAGAAAACGCAGAAATCCTAATATAAAAAACAAACCCTAGGTTACTAGTCCTAATATAACCCCCCAAAACCCCCCCTCAACTTTCCCCACAAAACTTTCCTTCATTCCTTCTCCTCGTGTACGCGATTAGAGTCCTAATGGGCCCCACATGGGCACTGGAATCTTCCCAGGCAGAAGGGCTTTTCACCCCTTATTTCTGACCTGAGCTGTAGGGCCGGTCGGCTGGGTCCAGACCGGTCCCTCCTGGACTAGTGGCCTAATAGAATCACACATTTCAATCAACGCACCTTGTAATCTTAAACATGAGGTAGATGATTGGAAGTTGACAAACAACATCAATTGCTAGCCCAGCTTTAGAGGCTTAGTCATTATATAGGATAGAATAAATAACATAAACTGATTTGCTCGATTAGAATAGTCCTAGTAAAGCAGAAAAAAATAATTTTCTAATCTATATCTATGTTTACACTTATGCTTATTAATTATAAATATTTCTAGCCTAATCTACGTAAATAATTGATATGAAAATAGATGTCTGATTGAATGCATATCCATAACGTTGAAGTCTTCCCTCAAGTTATTGTTGGTTTGTAAAGAAACATTAATTTACCCACGAGAGATTAATGTCATTGTCGTGCCATTGTCTTCATTAACGTTTATAATCCGAATGTTTGTAGAGATATGAGGAAGTGAAATAAAATGGGCGTAAATTTTTTTTTATTTTTATTTTAAATGTAGCAATAGTCACTTTTAATTGTTTTTTTTCTTTTTTTGGTTATGATAAATTTAATTGGCAACAATTTAGATAACATTGGTATTTTCTACATTTTCAGGAGTGTTATTATTATGAGGAAAGCTAAGTTTAGATAGAAATTCATGAAGCCAAATAATCTGCGAACATATGGCAGATGTTGCTCGATATTCAAAATCTGTAGACAATTTAGGCGCACATTTTTTTTACTTTTCTAAAAGATCAAGGAATTAGCAAGGCTCATATATCAACTTGTTATTGAGCTTCGAGAATGAGGACATCTAATCTCTTAGAACATGTGCAGAGAAGTGATTGGAAAAGTATTTGGTTGTTTTGCACAGTGTACACAGGGTTTCTGGAAGATTTGTTTTTGTTATTTTCTGATCGCTGCAACTGTGTTTATTGGAGTGCTTTTAGGACACTTTTGTTTTCCGGAGGAACCATTTACTTGACAAGGATCATCTACTACTACCGCTCCAAAGAATGGAAAGGGTGATTAGTTGCTTTCTTTCCACTTAACTTCTAGCCCTTGTAGTTGCCATCCATGCAATTGGCTATGAAAGACAGAAGGATGAATACAAGAATATTAGGAAATAAGCAAGTTGAAGACAGATGTTAGTACATAGAGAGAAATTCCCCTTTTAAAAGGAAGGAAGATTTGGATAAGCACCACTCATTATGGCCTAACTGTGATACTATGTCTAGTAGTCATTGGCCAAACATTTTTTTATAGCACAAAAAAATGATGAAAATAATCTCACACAGCCCAGGCTTCCCTTTTAATTAACCTATGGTTTTTTTTTTTAAAACAAGTTAAAAAGTGAAAGAAGTCTTCAAGGATAAATAGAAACTATAGGAAAAATTCATTAATTCTATCAATATGATTTACATTCAAGTCTATTATATATGCCAATAGACCTTATTTCAATTGGACACAAAGCTAAATTAATGTGATTCAGCCTGATTGGCATAGGGGCTAGGGGACACTTAACCGGCTGACCGGTTCAGCTAGGTGAGCAAGGGCCGACCTGCTCTTGGTCTGGGCTAGGTTGGCCGCTTAAGGGGAGGAACCTCCCCCTACTTATCTACTATTATAAATATGTCCTTTGCTTTGGTTAATGTTAGTTTCTCTTGATTTTCTTTTTTGTTTAGACAGCCGTCAACTTTCCCCCCTTCCCTTTAAGATTGTATCTGAAGGCGAGAAGGCGATTTGGTTGTAATTCGTCCAAGGTGGTGATCTTCTCCAAGAGTTCGAGGGGTGCTCCGGTTGTAGCTTGCTTCTACAGAGATAGTTTTCCTTTCCCAATCCCCCTTTGCTATCTTTGTAGCCATCCACCTCCCCAAGGACAGCAATCTTGTTGTCTCTTGCATATCTTCTTCTTGTTGCCTGTTGTTTTCCCTCAAACCCCTGCTTCCAATCACCCCCTCCAACACACCTCCTTACCGTCATGTTGTTTCCCGCAACTCCTTACTCCCAACTGCCATCCTTAGCACCTTTTCTTATTGTTTGGTAGTTTTCCCGCAAATCCCTCCCGACTATGTCGTTAACTCCAATCAAACTCCCCTTGCGATTGTTGCATCCCTCTCCATCTCTCTATCTGCCCTCATTGTCCTCCAATTCATCCAGGTTTGCCATCAGTGCCCTCCAATCCCCTTGATAGCCACCGCAGCCTATCCCTCGCCTTCCCCTTGCAACCAAAACCATCTTCCAACCCTCTCCTAACACCACCACCTCCTACCAGCATATAGACCTGCTAGCCAGCCGCCACCCACCACCTTCGCTATCACCCTAGAGTTTCTTCTTATGTTTTTAATTGTTCATTTTTTGTTTTAAAGAGTCATCGTTGTAACCCATTTGAATTTCAACAATAATATTTGAATTTTTATTGTGGTTTGGGTTAACTCTAGTATCAATTAATATCAGAGTTAGTCTAACCTAAATCCTATGCTAGGGCTTCCTAGCATCTGTCTTTCCCAAGCCACCTCCACTTAAAAAAATTCTTTCCTACTCCCAAACCATAGATAAATTTTGACCTAACCCTAATTTTCTCTTGATGATTTTCAAAATCAGCAACCCCAAATTAATCTCCCTACACCTTCAATTAGTTTCGTAAACCCTCTTTCACCTCCCATCCCTCAACCCAAGCCATACCACAACAGAGAAACATGTTCGAGCCTATCCAAGAAGAGAAACGGTGAGAGATCTGACGACTTCAGTGGAGGCTTACAGACATGGAGGATAAAACTCGGGGGGAAATTACCCCAGATCGTGACAGGGAAAGTGAAAGGGGCGAAAGAGACGAGAATTTCAATCCCTTTCATATGGAGGATTTCAGCAATAAAGAAAGGCCATGATGCTTCGGAATCCAATATCAGGGGAGGCCACCTATGGAAAACATAGGATAAGGACTTTGGAATAACGATAAATTTACCAGAGTTCGATGGAGGTATGAATCCGGACAACTTCATCGAATGACTATATTCATTTGAGAAATCTTCAAGTAAAAAGATGTGCCAAAAGATGAAAAACGTAAAGTTAACGACCATCAATTTCAGAAAGAATGTCTCTTTGTGGTGGAAAAACTTACAAAAGCAATGGAAAAGAGAAGGCAGTGACAAGATTACCGAGTGGAAGAATATGAAAAAGGCAATGCAGAGAAAATATCTAACTCATCATTACCGATAAGATATGTTTCTGAGACTCCACCTATAACAGAGAGGTCTATCAATGGAGTTCATAGCATTGTTTGATCAGCTGCAGATGAAGTGTAAGTTGGTCGAGCCAGATGAACATTCCATAGCCCAATATACGGGTGGTTTGAAACCTGCTATCAGCGGCGTCGTACAACTGCAGCCCTACTGGAGAC